CTGATTACGTTCTTACAAAGCTTAGAGTCCCTATCTTTAATTTAGTCAAGTATAGTTGAGGGCCTTCTTGAGAAACCAGTCGATTCTGTCTAGATATTGTCGCTGGTAAGCTGCACCCCAAACTTCAATCCCATACAAGAATACGGACATGACGAGCGAGTTAAACAAATTATTGAGTTGATCTTTGGAAGATCCATAGGATTTGCATACCCTTAGAATGTACATTTGACTACTGGCTTTGGATAGCATATCGTCGATATGGATGTCCCAGTTCGTAGTATCTTCCTGAAATGTGATTCCTAATAGTTTTAACCATGGCTTCCTTTTATTCCGGGTAATTCTGAAGGGGATAACTTGGTAGTTTTGCCGTGTATGCACATTTCCCATGTTTTGGTAAAATTGAGAGACATCTCGATTGTATCCGCCTACTTCTTCATGTTCTCAACCTCAGCGGGAGCAATATCTGCGCTTTGCCCAACAGGAACACTTATCTTTTCACCCAAGTGTGCGTTTTTTTATGATCAGGGGTCCTTTTTTTAACACTCCTGACCGTAACCTGTAGCTTGCCAACAGAATCTCATGAGGGAATATGATCGCTTGTACAGCCGTTCAAAACGCCTCTTCTAATTTAATCATAATAACGAAAGCCAACACCGAGGGGAAAGGGTCGTAGAAAATTTCTCCACTTGGTTAAAGCATCCATTTGACGTTACAACACAACTTGAGAACACCCTTGCGATGTCCACTCACAAGACGATTATTGGCCATGTTACAGTAAACTAGAAAAACATCGGGGCCACCTGCAAATGAATCAAAAATTGTAAATAACTGGGTTTCATTCCCTTCGCAGGTTAGCTAAATTGGTTTAGAGTTACTGTTGTGGGTATGGAAGGAGTCTATTCATCATTGTTGTCGTTTAAGTAATATCGCAATTTTTAAGCTGGTATATCGCTAAAACGAACGCAGAAGAGAAGATTGCTACTCCAACCAGCGACATCTTCCTTTTATTTAAAATACCTTAGAATTATTTAAGTGAGGTTATTCTTTTTGCCGTGAAGTTTTTTCTTTTGCCGTGACCCTTTTCTTTTTGCCGTGAGTCTTTTCGGTCTTTTTTGTCGTGAGGTTTTTTCTTTTGCCGCGAGATTATTTCTTTCGCTGCGAATTTATTTCTTTTGCCGCTAGGTTATTTCTTTTGCCGTGACAGTTGTGGGCCGCCGTAAGAACGGGTCAAAAGAGTAGGAAAGACTGTATGGCTACCGGAATACAACCGGAATGGTAAGCAGGGCTAATTATTTCCTTTGTGCTTTTCCTTAAACTTTTGGAGAGATTTCCGTCGAACCCCATATTATTCTAAAACAAAGCCGTAGTCTTAAAGGTAATCCGCGACTTTGTCCTCGTTGTCTTGTAACAAAAAAATAATCGTATCGTTCCATATATTTTTCTTTTGCTCCATCGATGTTTGCGAAAGAAAGTTAATTTTCTTAGTTCATTTATTTGATTCTGTATGTTGATATACACACTTTTCCTATCATATATTTATTTGTTTGTTTGTTTGTTTTTTATCCAAAAATATACCTGTTTATCTATCGTTGGGAATGAGGAATCAAGAAATTATCTCAGTAATCGCGGTAGGTTCACTTCCGTCACGTGAGAAAATCGTTTCCGGTAAGGTCATAAGACTGTCACGCAATGTCAAGTTGCGCAAGTAGTTAGAGTTGAGAAGCAATTTAAGAAGCCTTTCGTCGATCTTAAGATGATTAGGAGTAGGAAAACGAACGCTACTGCGACAGAGTCGTCTATGGAGGAGAAGGAAGAAAATCCCGGAGTGAAAGGTACGATTACGAAACATTTTATAGCAAAATCTAGCGACAAAAAATTGCACAATCTTTCGATTTTAGATGGCGCCGGTGCCAGGTGTTCCTTAATGTAAATATTTCAAATTGGTAGTTCTTACTTCAAATCGCCCTTAGGCCGTTTTTATTTGCTTCATTTAAAAAAAACCAGGCCGGCACTGATATATTTGGCTATTTGGTCAACCGAAACTAAATCTTATCCTCCTTCAACACGAGTTCACGTCAAGCAGATAAGCGCTGACCCGTGAAGTCCGCGGTCAATCGGCTACGTGCTATCGGGGAAATCTGCCAAAATCTTCGATCTGGCGACGGAATTTTGATAACTGCGTTACTGTGGAGAAATAAACAAGTAGAAAATTTTGGTTTGGTATCTTTTCGTCAAATGTAGGCATGGCGAGCAGACAGGGACGTGACAGGTGGGAGAGGAGCAGGAACGTGTCGAATTCCTTTTATGGTACCTACCCCTCCCCCTCTAAAATGTTCTTTATAATAACGGTTTGACTGTATCACTCTGGTTTCCCTTAAATACGCAAGTTATTTAGAAGTGCAAATATATGCGGTAAGCAATACCTTACGCTCGTGAAAAACATAACTCGTGTCTTCATAAGTTTTAATTTGTTCGTTTTACCAGATTTGGATGGCGAGGAGACTGGAAACCAATCTAATGGTTTGCACACGAAGACACGACACAGCGACGATGAAAGGAATGGAGATGTGAACTATGGACCTGTTATTACAGTTCTAAAAGCTTTCATTTTGTCCATTTTAACAATGTTTTCGGCCGGATTTAATGCCCTGAGGGGATTGCCGAGGTATGTCTCTAGATCTGGCTTTGGAAAATATTTTTATTCACCCTCAACTCGATCGACGAGTGCGGCCATGACGAAAGGGATACAATATCAGGATTCGGAAAACACTCGTCCATTTTCCTGTTCTGCAGCCCGGTTTGATCCACAAAAACTCCGTGATGTATGGGGTAAACCATCCTTTGATGTGGCGAAAATGACCCATCTGTTGGATCACGATAACCACGACAAGAGAGCGAAATTTCGAAAAATCTTTTCTGAGGATCCTTTGATGACCCCAAAATACAACATTTCCTTGGACGAAGAGAGAGACTTAGCCTTGAAGAGACTGAAGACACTCTGTAACCAAGGATTTATTTCCGTGTTAGACTTCAAAAGCAACCCTCACTGGATCTTTGCAGCCCACGAAATGGCCGCCGTAGTAGATGCGGCAATGGCTACCAAAATGACGGTCCAGTTTAACTTGTTTGGTGGTACTGTGTTGAAGTTGGGCACAGAAAGACACCACGACAAACTATTAGAGGTAGGAACTTTTTACTCGTTTTTCGATGTAGTCAGAGTATTGCTATTTGGTCTTATAAGCTTTACATCCTAATTAATATCAGCTTCTATATTCTTCGTAATCTTACGTAATCTTATATGCCTGGCTTCTTATCAACAGCTTCTATTTCCTCCGTAATCTTTTGCGCCTTACACTTTAATATTAGCGTCTATTTTCCCCCTAATCTTCTCTGTACATATCCTTTGGCTCTGACTAGGAGAATTCATTTGGTGATCATTTCCTTTATTCTCATGGTTTTCATAAATGATTAAGCAGAAATATTGTAAGGAGAAATTATACACTGGTCACTTTTAGGGTATTTTTGTTTCCACTTATAACAACACCTTTGCCTTTTCAGAAAGTAAGCTTTTTTTACCCTCTCTATGAATTTAACCCTTTAACTCCAGATCAAATTTGTAATTCTCATTATTGTCAACCATACAATTCTTACAATATTAGTTCAGGGAATTTACTAGTGGATCAACTAATTATCCCCAAATTGACATTTTTCTTTATTCTCATCACTTATCTGGTTGATATTGTATTGATATTGTAAGGAGAAACTCTCTTTTGGTCACTCATGGGAGTTAAAGGGTTAATGTTGTTTCTAATTGTATATTTGTAAATGATGTATTCATCTACGTGATGAATATGACTGTTAATTGACTAAAAATGAAGGAAAGATTACCATGCCTCTGAACTGGCAAGGGACCATGGATTTCTATAGTTGTTGTAAAATGATTAGCAATTTGCTTAAGATTTTTATTGCATCAATCTGCATGCATCTGTGCTCTTAGCAACAGCAATATTCTTCATTTGTCATGTTGGACTCACTTGGCTGTAGCTTTGACCACAATGATGACAAATATTGTTGTCTATGAGAGTACACACCAGGCTATACCACAGTTGACTTTTTTAATTTACTACAACATCTATGTCAAAATTTCCAAGTCATCCATGTTTAAGAGGTGACAAAGGTATTGTGTGACACATTAACATGGGTAAGGTTGTCCGTACTCTTTTCAACAGTGGGAAATTTGCCAAGCAGATTGCGACATTACTGCCAATTGTGGTAAAAAGTTTTTTTTGACTTAAGAACTGATGGCAAGGCCTCTCTTTTCTTTTTGATAAACCAAGGGTATTGATTCATTGGAAGATGTGGGCTGTTTTGGTCTGACAGAACTTGGATACGGAAACAATGCAGTACAGATGGAGACAACAGCCACATATGACAAGGAGACCAAGGAGTTCATTGTCAACACACCAAATGCACTGGCACAGAAATATTGGATCACCAATGGTGCTTGCCATGCCCATCATGTCATTGTCTTCTCTCAGCTTTATATTGATGGTGTCAATCAAGGTAAGAAAATGCCAAGGTTAATTCAATGAATAGATATTTTATACTCTCACTTTTCAGTTGTGAAAGCTAGAGTTTGTATTCAGGGCCTTTAACCATTATTATTTCATGATTTAACCATTATTATTTCATGATTCACACCTTTTCTTTTGTTATTCAACAATCTTTATTTGACCTACAACCCTGTTGAATATTAACAAACTGAAAGTCTGGGGAGGGCTTGATAATGTCACAGGGAAGAGCAGGGCTGTTGAATTGAATATGATTTTAAATTAGGGATTTATCTGTGTAAATCCCTTGTTTCAAGAATTTATCTGTATAAATCCCTCCTCAATCATTCCATTTCACTCTTTTGCTTATTCAGACCCACAATGCCCACAATGTATTTATTCTTGTATTTGGCAGTATTTGAGACTGGTTGCGATCATTCTGTTTCACTCCACTATTTATTCAGACCAAGTATGAACTGCCCACTGCCCACAATGTATTTATTCTTGTATTTGGTGGTATACGAGATTCCTTCCTCTTCTCAAGTTCTTCATTGTCAACGATCAAAATCTTCCTTACTACTTCTGGGCAATTCGATGGGTCAGTCTGTCCATCCTTGATGTATTCCTTAGTCACTACTTGTTTTAATTCTTTTGCTCATGAATTTTGTGGAGCAGGCTCATCACTATCTACTAGGCCGTCTAAAATAGAATCAATACTAAAATCTTGTTGTAATATTTCTTCTGAAAAACTATTTTGAGTAAGAAAAAGCTCCTTGTTGTTATACATGCTGTCCATAATGACAGCACAAAAACAGAGAAATGAGTTGTTGGAAAACATTTGTACACGTTTATTGAAAAACTAGTAAACAAGAACAAAAACAAAATATCAAACATAGCAAAAAACAAAGAAAATGCAATGCTAAGTCCCTTGTGGACTCGCTAAAATATCATTAAGTACAAAAAAGTTTAGCACTTGTCACAGAGGAATTCGCAACAACTTTTCACAGTTGTGTGAGAAACACACACATCAGGTTGCTTTCATGGTATCTGCTTTGATCCAATGAAAGTGTGACTGTACTAATTAGCCTGTGTTTGGCCCCTTGAAGGAAGGATTGTTATTTAAAGATCCCTCAGTCAGATAAATACCTTGGACAGAGGTATTAATCCATATACAGCCCTACAGCCCTTGGGATGTATATGGATTAATACCTCCATTTTTGGTATTTATCTCTTACAAATTCATATTTTCCATACTGCCCTGTCTAATTTTCCTATGGTACTGACAAGGAGAACTTTTTTCACAATTAAGATCTTCATAAATTGGTTATCATTTCCTTTATTCTTATATAACCTTTGTATTTGATTTAATGGTGATACTGTAAGAAAAAATTGGAGGCCAGTCACTAAGGGTTTGAAAGATTAACAATTATTAAAATGAGAATGTATCTTGAGTTTTCATAACTTTGGAGATTTCCTATCCATCCTACATTTGTGAGCTGAGGCTATGCAAGCATGTAAACATGCCTCTAATGCTTTTATAACATTTTTCTGACGCACATGTACAAATTGTAAACATTGCCTGTGTTTACAGTTACATGCTCTCATTTAACCCTTAAACTCCCAAAATCTGATTGTTAATTCTCTCCTCTAGCTGCTACACATTTCCTTGTTAATTAGTTATGAGAGCCTGGTGCTAGATCAAGATAGCAGCTTCTACCTGATAAGTTCGAGTATTCTCATTACCTGTTTGCTGAATAATGTATGGATATTTTAGGGGAAAGTTTCATGTTAATCACTTCTGGGAGTTAAAGGGTTAAACAAACCATTGACTAATGAGATTGTAAAAGCAAAAGTGTTCGTTTCACATTCCAAAGACATAATGGAGAAGAAACTGACTGAAGTGTTCTTGGTTTCTCTTGGAAAATATTCCAACTGAATTGCTCAGCTTTCATCAGTTGGAATGAGTGGTTACACAGCATAAAACTATGTGCATGTAATCAATTGCTCAGAGTGACCCTTCAATGAGAATATGGGTTCATATCTCTGGAAGCTCAAGCCCCTTGTTCCTGTTAGTGATGGATGTCTCATCTTTACCTCTAGATATCATCACAGTGTGCACTGCACCTGAGTCATGTTACAAATCATATTCCGACAAAATTGATTATTTCAGGTATCCATGGTGTGCTGGTTCCCATCAGAGACAAGAACCTTAATGTGATGCCTGGAGTTCAGATTCATGACATGGGACATAAAATGGGTCTGAATGGAGTGGACAATGCTAAGTTCTTCTTTAGCAATGTCCGTGTACCCAGAGAAAACCTGCTCAACTTGTATTCTGATGTTGAAGAGGATGGAACGTACAAGACAAACATAGAAGGAAGTATTCGGAAACGTTTCTTGACTGTAGCAGACCAGCTTCTCTCAGGCCGTCTGTGTATAGCCAGCATGTCACAAGGTACTGTTTATTGGGTGGCTTACTATATCCCAAGTACTAAAGCTCTGGGTCCAGTTGTATAATGGATGGATAATGCTATCCAAGAGATAAATTGCAATGTGATGGATAAGCAATTGCAAAATCTTTAGCATTGTCTGCTGTACAGCAATTTACCTGGTGGATAGTGTTATCTAACCTTCGAACTTTTTGGGCCTGGTGCACTAATCAGCCTTACCCCCCCCCCCCTCCTTTCACTGATCTCTATAACTGCTTTTGTGTTTTTTCTCAAGATGTGACATTTGCAAACATCCAATTTGAACTAAATTTGATAAACACCACAGAACCACTTGTGGGAGATATGGTGTTCTAATGGTTAGTGCACTGGATCCCAGGTCGAAAAAATCCAGTTTCAAGACCTTGCAGAGCCATCGTGTTGTGTTGTTTTGCAAAGCACTCTCCTTCAGAGTGCCTCTCTTCACCCAGGAGTATAAATGAGTAGTGAATTGTCAGGGAAGCCTGATAAAATTTTGGGGAGGTAACCTTGCAAAGAATCGGCATCCTCTCCAGAGGGGAAGGTTTATCTGTAACATCTGGAATTTAGTGTTGCCTTGACTTGAATGGGCTTTGTAGGCTCAGAGTTTAGTTGTCTACAACCATACACTCTGTTCTGGACTTTTGCACCACACACATCCAAGCTAAAGAATTGTATGCTAGTTGCAGTCTTCATAGATGTGCACTTCTTTATTTTATATGATGTTCTTCTACCCACTGTAAAGAACAAGCACAAGAAATAGCGGTATGTCTTATTATGTTTTAAGGAGCAGCCAAAGCTTGTCTTGCCATTGCCATCCGCTACTCAGCAACTCGCCTTACAGTGGGTCCTGATGGCAAATCTGACACACCCATTCTCAAGTATCAGCTCCAACAGAACGCTCTGGTGCCACTTCTGGCTGCTACTTACGCCATGGATTTTGCACTGCAATATATAAAAGATCGCTGGGCTTTTCAGGTACTGTGGCCTTGCAAAACGTCTTGTGTCTAGCAAAGAATGATTGGAACATTACGTGTATTTTTGTCCATGTTTTTTAGAGAACAATGTTATTATTCCACTCTCGGAAGTTGCATATGGGATATCCGAACTATAGCCTCCGTTTGGTATCTTGAAAATACGCTTATCTGTTCCAACGAGTGAACAGTTTTGCGAGAGTAAAGCTCGAGGAGAACTGTGAGCAGCAGAGGCTCAGCGAGGTCCTGATACAGCTTTGTTTAAGATCTTATCATTCCATTTCCTTCATAGGCAGCTGATGGATCTGAGAATGCGGATGTGGTGATTATGTGTTGTGTTATAAAGGCTATAACTGGCTGGCATGTTGCTGAAGCAGCTGCCATTTCCCGCGAGAGGTGTGGGGGCCAAGGGTATCTGTCCTGTAACAAGTTTGGCAGTGGTATAGCTGGTTCGCATTCCTCCATGACAGCCGAAGGGGACAACTCAGTCCTGATGCAGAAGGTGGCTTCAGAAAGGCTGATGAGTCTCAAGCCATCCATGTTGGAGGTAGCGGCCAGCTATGTGCCGAAGGCTGTGACCCGGATCTTCGGTTGGGCCAATCTCAACAACCCGAAATACTTGCAGGAGCTTTTAGAGTCACGAGAGAAAGATCTATTTTTGAGCCTTGGAATGAAGATGATGAAGGCTGGGAAGGAGGGAAGATTTGACACCTGGATGTACGTGGAACAGGATCTTGTCCAAGCTGCTGCTCGTGCGTATGGTGAACGACTCATCAGTGAATGTTTTGGCAAAGCTCTTGACAAAGCTGACCCTGGTCTGCAACCAGTTCTCCAGAAACTTCATCATCTCTATCAGATGTCAGTCATCAAGAAGGATCTCGGCTACTTCACCACCTCGGGGCTGATGTCTACGTGGACTGGGGCTAAAGTTGGGAAGGCAGCTGCTGACCTGTGTCGAGAAGTGGCACCGCAGGCCACTGCACTGTGTGATGCATTTGGATTCACCGACGAAATGCTTAATGCCCCAATTGCCAGAGACTGGGTCAAATATAATGCAGTTGATAACAAAGGGGAAGTCGAAGGTGTGCAGTATTGATGCTGCCACCCGAAATTCGCTCAATCTTGTGAACGAACCCTTTTTTTTCTGAAAGCTCCTGAAACAAAATTTGTCGTAAA